GGGGACACGGGAAATGACACTGGGGACACGGGAAATGGCAACAGGGACACAGGAAAATGGCATTGGGGACATGGAGACTGGCACTGGGGACATGGGAAAATGGCACAAATGGCATTGGGGACACGGGAAATGACATTGGGGACACGGGAAACGGCATTGGGGACACGGGAAATGACACTGGGGACACAGGAAACAACACTGGGGACATGGGAAACGGCACAAATGGCATTGGGGACATGGGAAATGGCATTGGGGACACGATAAACGACACAAATGGCATCAGGGCACAGGAAAATGGCACAAATGGCATTGGGGACACGGGAGATGACACTGGGGACACGGGAAACGGCATAAATGGCATTGGGGACACAGGAAATGGCATAAATGGCAGCGGGGACACGGGAAACGGCATAAATGGCATTGGGGACACGGGAAATGGCATAAATGGCAGCGGGGACACGGGAAACGGCACTGGGGACATGGGAAAATGGCATTGGGGACATGGAGAATGGCACTGGGGACACGGGAAATGGCATCAGGGCACGGGAAAATGGCAAATGGCATTGGGGACAGCAAAATGGCACAAATGGCATTGGGGACACGGGAAATGGCACAAATGGCATCGTGGACAGCAAAATGGCACTGGGGACATGGAGAATGGCATTGGGGACACGGGAAACGGCACTGGGGACACGGGAAATGGCACAAATGGCATTGGGGACACGGGAAACGGCATAAATGGCATTGGGGACATGGGAAATGGCATTGGGGACACGGGAAATGGCATAAATGGCATTGGGGACATGGGAAAATGGCATTGGGGACATGGGAAACGGCATTGGGGACACGGGAAATGACACTGGGGACACGGGAAATGACACTGGGGACACGGGAAATGGCACAAATGGCATTGGGGACACGGGAAACGGCATTGGGGACACGGGAAATGGCATTTGGGACACGGGAAATGGCATAAATGGCATTGGGGACACGGGAAATGGCACAAATGGCATCGGGGACACGGGAAAATTGGCATTGGGGATATGGCAAAATGGCACTGGGGACAGATAAATGGCACAAATGGCAGCGGGGACACGGGAAATGGCACAAATGGCATTGGGGATATGGCAAATGGCATTGGGGACAAAGATAAATGGCACAAATGGCACTGGGGACATGGGAAATGGCACAAATGGCATCGGGGACACGGGAAATGGCATAAATGGCATTGGGGATATGGCAAATGGCATTGGGGACAAAAATAAATGGCACAAATGGCACTGGGGACACGGGAAATGGCACAAATGGCATCGGGGACACGGGAAATGGCATAAATGGCATTGGGGACAGCAAAATGGCACTGGGGACACGGGAGATGACACTGGGGACACGGGAGATGACACTGGGGACATGGGAAATGGCATTGGGGACACGGGGGTGGCAGCAGGGACACGGAGAATGGCAGCGGGGACATGGGAGAATGGCACAAATGGCATTGGGGACAAAGATAAATGGCACCCATGTCACCCCAAATGGCATCCCATTGTCCCCATGTCCCCACATTGTCCCCGTGTCCCCATGTCCACGTGTCCCCGTGTCCCCATATCCCCATGTCCCCATGTCCCCGTGTCCCCCTGTCCCCGTGTCGCCATGTCCACGTGTCCCCATGTCCCCATGTCCCCGTGTCCCCATGTCCATGTGTCCCCCTGTCCCCATGTCCCCGTGTCCCCCTGTCCCCGTGTCCCCCTGTCCCCGTGTCGCCATGTCCACGTGTCCCCATGTCCCCATGTCCCCGTGTCCCCATGTCCACGTGTCCCCATGTTCATGTGTCCCCATGTCCCCATGTCCCCGTGTCCATGTCCCCATGTCCACGTGTCCCTGTGTCCCCATGTCCCCATACCCCCATTGTCCCCATGTCCCCATGTCGCCATGTCCCCGTGTCGCCATGTCCACGTGTCCCCCTGTCCCCATGTCCCCATGTCCACGTGTCCCCATGTCCCCATGTCCCCATGTCCATGTGTCCCCATGTCCCCCTGTCCCCATGTCCCCATGTCCACGTGTCCACGTGTCCCCATGTCCCCATACCCCCATTGTCCCCATGTCCCCACATTGTCCCCGTGTCCCCATGTCCACGTGTCCCCATGTTCACGTGTCCCCATGTCCCCATGTCCATGTCCCCATGTCCACGTGTCCCCGTGTCCCCATATCCCCATGTCCCCATGTCCCCCATTGTACCCATGTCACTGTGTTGTCCTCACATCCCCATGTCCCTGTGTCCCCACGTTGTCCCCACGTTGTCCCCATGTCCCCCACTGTCCCCATGTCCCCACATTGTCCCCATTGTCCCCGTGTCCGTGTCCCCTGTCCCGCAGACGCCCATCAAGTGGATGGCGTTGGAGAGCATCCACTTCGGCAAGTACACGCACCAGAGCGACGTCTGGAGCTACGGTGAGCAGCCCGCTGTCCCCAGGGTCCCCGGTGTCCCCAAAGTCCCCTTGTGTCCCCCTCTGTCCCCCAGTGTCCCAACTGTCCCCAGTGTCCACAATGTCCCCCTGCTGTCCCCCTGTGTCCTCCCATGTCCCCTGCTGTACCCCTGGTGTCTCCGGCTGTCCCTGCTGTCCCCTACTCTCCCCTGGTGTCCCTGCTGTCCCCGCTGTCCCCTGGTGTCCCTGTGGCTCACGAGCTGTCCCCTGGTGTCCCCCCTGTCCCCTCTGTCCCCCAGGGGTGACGCTGTGGGAGATGATGACCTTTGGGGCTGAGCCCTACATCCCCTGTGTCCCCACTGTCCCCTGCTGTCCCCGGTGTCCCCATAGCTCACGGGCTGTCCCCATGGCTCATGGGCTGTCCCCACTGTCCCCTGCTGTCCCTGGTGTCCCCATGGCTCACGGGCTGTCCCCTCTGTCCCCCCTGTCCCCTCTGTCCCGCAGGGGTGACACTGTGGGAGATGATGACCTTCGGGGCCGAGCTGTACATCCCCTGTGTCCCCACTGTCCCCTGCTGTCCCCGGTGTCCCCATGGCTCATGGGGTGTCCCCATGGCTCACGGGCTGTCCCCACTGTCCCCCTCTGTCCCCAGTGTCCCCATGGCTCACGGGGTGTCCCTGTGGCTCACGGGCTGTCCCCTCTGTCCCCCCTGTCCCCTCTGTCCCGCAGGGGTGACGCTGTGGGAGATGATGATGTTCAGAGCTGAGCCCTACATCCCCTGTGTCCCCACTGTCCCCGGTGTCCCCATGGCTCACAGGCTGTCCCCATGGCTCATGGGCTGTCCCCACTGTCCCCTGCTGTCCCCGGTGTCCCTGTGGCTCACGGGCTGTCCCCTCTGTCCCCCCTGTCCCCGCTGTCCCGCAGGGGTGACGCTGTGGGAGATGATGACCTTCGGGACTGAGCTGTACATCCCCTGTGTCCCCACTGTCCCCTCTGTCCCCAGTGTCCCCATAGCTCATGGGGTGTCCCTGTGGCTCACGGGGTGTCCCCTCTGTCCCCA